CCCCAAAACCCCAAAACCCCAAAACCCCAAAACCCCATTTAATTCCATTACATAATTTATTTTAGCTTCTGATATTAAAAAGAAGATGAATAGTCAGTTATCTTCCAACAATACATCCGCAAGAGAAAGAGCTGCTACTTTTGGAGGCCAACAAGAGGAAAATTTCGCTCAAAATCCTGCTGATGGAGGTACAGCATCCCAAAATTTTGAGGCATATCTTTCAAAATATGAGTACTTACGGCTGAATTATGAAAATGAAGGAATTTCACAAAGCTCACTACTACTATTAAGAAGATTGTCAAAAAGTTTCCATGATAATGACCCTAGTTTGTCTAATTTGCCCATTCTAAAAGAGATGGTAAACGTTTGCAAAAAGTTGATGCTAAATGACTTCGAAATACTCATCTGGGCGATCTATCTCAAGGAAACAGTTCTGAACAGGAATGATGTTATTGATTACCTCAGCACAAGTGCTATGTTTGTAAAATAAGGATCTAAATGAAAATGATGTATTTAAAATTTTTGAAACTTTCTTTGCACATAATCATTATGATGCTTATGCAAAGTATGCATCAAGTAGCAAACCTCAAGTGACACTAACTTTGAAAAGAATCAATTATTATAACATGACACTTCTCGCTCCCTTTGACGATGGGAGAGATAAAGAGGTACAAGATTTTAATTACGAAGTTGATGCCTTGGAAGACGAGCATGTGAGGAGGGAAGTTCATACAACAAAAGTTGTAGTCGATGATAAGAATAATGATGATAATAAAGGTGGCCAGCAAGATGGTAGTTATACAGAAACTTCTGGGAAGGGTAATAAGAGAGTCAGGAAAGCGAGGACTAAAGCACAAGATATTGTAAAGGTGACCCCGCAACCAATCCAGCAGGTAACGACACAGTCTCCTCAAAATATACCCAAAAATTTTATTAAAGAGAAAAGAGAGGCAAAGAAATCTTTTGATTTTCTGAATGAAGATGACAAGAGTGACCAAGCTAATGAATCTCCTTTTGCATCTATCCCAAAGTTTCCTTCCTTGATGAGTAAAATGAGGGAGCTACCAACTACTAATACTCCAGTTGCTGAGAAGAAAGGACAACTTTTATTCAGCGAAATAGGAGCAAGTGTGAAAAAGCCTGATGAAAAATCTGCTGATTCCCTCTATCCTTTTGGTAACAACTCAACCAATGCTGCTCCTACTATAACAGCTCCTTTCAATAATAGACCAAAGCCATCGATAGAATCACTTGGAGGTGGGTATGGTGCCTTTGATCATATTGATGACCAGATTGGCTTTGCCAGCAGAGAATTTATGCAGGACAAGTCCCAGGAATTCAAAAGTTATATGAATTCCTCTTTTAAGACCAATTTCAACCCTTTTGCTAGTGGGGAGTTTGGTAGAAGCATGGAACCAAATGATGTATCCAACGGCTTACATCATCCAGCTCCTAAATACCACAAATAATCTCCTAAGCAGAGACATATGTTTTTATTCTTTTGTTTTTCGTAGAAGTAAAAAATTTGGAGACATTTTTGGAGTTCCTAATACCATTCAATTTTGCAAAATTTTGAAGGGGTTTTGGGGTTTTGGGGTTTTGGGGTTTTGGGG